AAATTAATTAGTGATTTGTGTTTGTGGAGAAATGGGAGCAGTTCCCAGTTTGGCGTAGCGGCAGAGCCAGTTTGGTGTAGTGAGTAAGTGTGTGGACTCTAATCTGGGAGAACCGAGTTTGATTCCCCCACTCCTCCACTTGCAGCTGCTGGATGACCTTGGGCAAGCCATAGTTTTGTCAGAGCTGTTCTTGAAAGAGCAGTTCTTGGGAGAGCTCTCTCAGCCCCACCGACCTCACAGGGTGTCTGCTGTGGGGAGGGGAAGGGAAAGGAGTTTGTAAGCTGCTCTGAGACTCCGAGTGAAGGGCGGGGTATAAATCCAATCTCTTCTCCTCTTCTTCTTCTTCTCTTCTCCCCCCGCCCCCATTTTGTCGTATCCTTAGCTGTTCATTGGCATAATGAAATTCATACCTTCCTTTCCTTTCTTTCAAGCTCCTTTGATCCAGTGATCTTGAGTGATGAAAAAGGAGCCTTTATTCCTTTAAGGAAAATAGGGTGGAGAGATACTGGGCCGCATTCAGTGTAATCCTTGGATCTCTATCCACCAATAGGACTAGGTTTTCTTTCAATAAAGTAGATGGTAATTCGTCTCTGGTCCCAGCTCCTGCCAATCTAGCAGTTCGAAAGCAAGAAATTGCAAGTAGGTGAATAGGTACCGCTTTGGTGGGAAGGTAACGGCGTTCCGTGCACCTCAGCATCTAGTCATGCCGGCCACATGACCACGGAAATGTCTTCGGACAGCGCTGGCTCTTCGGCTTGGAAACGGAGATGAGCACCGCCCCCTAGAGTCGGATTCGACTGGCTTTCGAGCAAGGGAAACCTTTACCTTTACTAGTTTTGTTAAAGTAGGGACAATCCGTCACTCACAATAGAAATTATAATAGACATTCTAGTATCATGTGAGGTAAGGAGTCAACCCCTTTCAGGCGACATTGGCAAAGCCCGTCCGAATAAGGCAAAGAAGGTGGTGAGGGGTCTGGAGACCAAGGCCTATGAGGAAAGGCTGAAGGAGCTGGGTGCGTTTAGCCTGGAGAGGAGACGACTGAGAGGTGATATGATAACCATCTTCAAGTACTCGAAGGGCTGTCCTATAGGGGACGGTGCAGAGTTGTTTTCTGTTGCCCCAGAAGGTCGGACCAGAACCAACAGGTTGAAATTAAATCAGAAGAGTTTTTGGCTTAGCATTAGGAAGAACTTCCTGATAGGTAGAGTGGTTCCTCAGTGGGACAGGCTTCCTCAGGAGGTGGTGGGCTCTCCTTCTTTGGAGGTTTTCCAACAAAGGCTAGATGGCCATCTGTCAGCAATGCGGATTCCGTGAACTTGGGCAGATCACGATAAGGGATAAGGGAGGGCAGGAAGGGTTGCCTCAGTGCTCAGTTCTCGTGGCCCTTTCTTACACGCCCAGGGAAATGCCGATCACCACTTTGGGAGTCAGGAAGCAATTTTTCTCCAGGCCAGTTTAGCTGGAGATCTTGGAGGGTTTTTTGTCATCTTCTGGGCATGGAACAGGGGCCACTGGGGTGTGTGTGTGTGGGGGGAGGTATTTGTGAATTTCCTGCATTGTGCAGTGGTCTGGACTAGATGACCCTGGAGGTCCTTTCTGACTCAATGATTCTATGACTCTAAGGCAGATTACAATATCTCCCATACAGGACAGCTGAAGGGGCAGTGTTCAAACGCACAAGCATAAATGCTCCGCGGCAACGAGGAACTCTTAACATTTTTACATAGAGTGGTGTGTTTGGAGACGGAGAAACGCCAAAAAGTGGGTAGAGCTTTCTCTCCGAGCTCCTATAGCTGAGCTAAAGCGATCTAGGTCTTTTATACGTTTCTTAATAGTCAATTAAGATTCGCTTTCCCTGATACATGACGGAATTCTTACCAATGAGACGAGAGGTGTAGACAGAGAGAATTAGGACAATTCCTCTTCCACTGAATGCCACGCTTGATATGGCCTTTTTGCTTTGCTTCCTCCCCTACTCCATCCTTTCACTGCCCGCTTTCTCTCAGCCACCTGGCGTGGCACGGATCCAACATCCGCTGTTTATGCCTTGCTGAACTGAGCCGGGACAGGCCCCGGCCTGCCGGTGGCTTCCAGCACCCGATGAAGATGCATTTTCTCCCACAATTCCTTTACCGGGCCCATCCTGGAATTCGTACCTTTACCATTCCAGTTCAGACCTAGACGAGTGTAAGATTTTATCCACAGAGCCCTAGGCCTGGAAGTTATCAGCTTCCACGTCCGTCGCCCATGCGAATGGCCGATGTGCGCATCATATTGTGGAAACGCACACCCACAACACTCGCGTGTGTGGGAACGCCTCCCCTCCCCATGTCAGTACAGGCCCGAGTGGCTATGGCGAGAGCCGAGAGGCCTTGTAAAAGAAGTCTTCGAGCCTAAGAAAGTGCCGGCGTAGGTTTTGGAAGTCTGCCGCACTTCCGGTCTCCTTCCCCTAGTAAACTTAAGACTCCTGCATCCGCAAACCAGCCCTCTCTTTGGACCAGTGTGGTACAATGGCCTGGGCTAAGATCCTCAGTGTGCTAGGAAGTTCGATGGGTTACTTTGAGCCAGTCACATACCCTCCCGCCTAACCTACCTCACCAGATTGTTGTGAGAGTAAAATGGGGAGAAGACAACCATGTATACCTCCCTGAGCTCTTTGGAGGAAGAGCAGGACAGAATGTACTAGATAGATAGAAACTAGGGATGCCAGCCTCCAGATGGGACCTGGGGATCCCTCAGATTTACAGCTCCAGACTACAGAGATCAGTTCCCCTGGAGAAAATAGATGCTTTGGAGGGTGGATTCAATGGCATCGTACCCTACTGAAGTCCTTGTCCTCTCCAGGCTCCAACCCCAAATCTCCAGGAGTTTCGCAGCCTGGATATGGCAACCCTACCACTGCCCACACTAGTGGCCAGGGGGAACCTGGCAAACTTTGGGTAGTGAAGAGTGGGGTATAAATCCTCTCTCTCTCTCTTCTTAATAGAAACGCAGAGCTGGAAGTAGTAAAGTATTGATAGTAAGCTCTACTGGTATTGATGGGTAGTACTGATGGGTAGATGTTGGGTATCGGTTGGGGGCAAGTGATACCATTCCAGAGGTCATTTTGTAGAAAAGGAGGTGCAGGAGCTCATTAGCATAACTTATTTGCATATGCCACACCCCCTGACATCACCGGAAATGTGTCAGAAGGCTCCACTGGACTGTTTTGAATTGCCAGCTATTGGTGTGTGTGGGGGGGAGGAATGTGCAGATCTGTCCTCGCAGAGGAGGGAGAGCTTGTACATGAATAAAACTTGGTCTTAAAGGTGCTACTGGACTGTTTTGGACCGGGGGGGGGGCCTGGGGGTGCTCTGCAACTTACCTGGCTGCTTCTTGCTCTGACTGAGGGCTGCTGGGAGCAGGGGGTGGGGCTTGTTGCATGTGCCCGCCCCCTGGGCTCCTTACTGCTGGAGCTCCGCTCCTGTGCGCTCCTGCAGGAAATGACCCCTGCCATTGACACAGGTTCTAAGGATATGATTATTTTATTGTAATTTATTATACCGCTGTAACCCGTCCTGAGCTTGCTATGCAGGGGAGGGAGGGCTACACATTTAATAAAATAAATAAATAAAATAATTTCATGGAGGATAGGTCGCTCTCAGGAAGGATAGGTCCATCAGTGGCTACTAGCTGCGCCGGTGACCAAGTAGAGCCTCCATATTCCGAGGCAGTAAACCCTCTGCATGCCAGTACCAGGTGATGATATCAGCGAAAGGCCTGGGGTTCTGGTGCCCTTTCTCTTGGCCTTCCAGGGCAACTGATTGGCAGCCGTGTGAAACAGGATGCTGGACTTGTTAGACCACACAGGTCTGATCCAGCAGGGCTCATCTTATGTTCTTATAGTGATGGTGATTGTATTTTGGTAACAGTGGGCATGAGCTGGTTGTATGGGAAGGTACTGGCCATGTTAGCAATGACATACTGGGTGAACAGCCCCTTTCAAACAGCCTTTGTATTTTTAGTAGCTGGTTGCTAATGGATGGATTTTTTTTTTGTCATTTCAGACAGACCCATTTTAGTAACAAGCTGCTAATGGATTTTACTTACCTTTTCATACAAAGCTGCTTGCGTCCAGTTAGCAAAGTGTGGTTTTTGAGGGAAACGTTTTCACCTCTTCATTGCGCTTCTGTGGTGTGCTGTTTAAAATGTGTGTAGCGCTTCCTACAATGCCACTTCCCTCCCACCCTTTTTCACGGTGCAATCTTCCTCAAACTTTTTTTGAAAGTTTTAAGTTTAGCGCTATAGCACTCAACCAATATAGCACTTCAGTGCTACAACAGTACCATTTAGATGCCTAGGCACCACTATAGTGGTCTAGCACTGTAGCGCTCAACTTAGAAATATTTTTTTTAAAGTTCGAGGAAGATCTCGCCGTGAAAAAGGGCAGGGGGGGAAAGCTGCACTGTTGGAAATGACCATCGTCCTTCAGGGACGGCTCATTAACAGAACGAAATTCGCTGTATGAAACCCCCGTCCCTGTATTGCTTTACTCAGAACTGGGCCAACAACGAATAACATCCAGTTTAGAACTGTAATGTGAAAGGGGCCAAGCTGGTTGTATGGGAAGTTGTCAGCCTTGTCGGTAGTGACATACTGGGTGAATGTTTCTCGGCCACCCCGGTGGGTGGAGGGACATTTAATTTGCTACGGAGTGGTGGGGACCAATGCTCCCTTCAAAGCTGTGGAGTCTTGTGAGCAAAAATTCACTTTGTGAGCTACCGGCATTAACGTTGTGCGCGAGCGATTTGGCTCCTGCATAAATCTGTTTGCCTGAGCGAAGAGAAAAATGTGTGAGCCGGAGGCTAAAAAATTGTGAGCTAGCTCACACTAACTCAGCTTTGAGGGAACACTGGCTGGGGACACGTTCGTGACGTAGGTACCTTTGAATGCTGGCGCTACTGATGATATCTCGGTGGCTGATTGCTTGCCTCTCTGTCCCACATCAGCTGCCTGAGGTAGAGGACCCTGACCGGGGCCAGCCGTGTCAAGCCTGCGGGGAACAGTGCCCGGGTTTCCTAGTGCATGGATGGAGGTAGGAGAACATGCTGACCTTCCCTCACTCCAGCAGACCACCCCCCTCTCCGTCTTCCCTGACCATCTGGCTCCCTCCCGGTTGGTCGATCTATTCCTTGCGCTCTGTGATCCTGTTCATTATCTCACTTTCTCTCTCTGTTTATCCCGGTTTCGCCTTGCCTCCTTTCTGCTCCGTTCTTGCTCGCTGAGGTGATTCGGACCGACTTTGACGCCCTCCGTTCTTTCTGTGAGCTAAAAAAGGGTCTCCCGCTCGGCCCTTTCTCCCTTGAGCTCCCGTCACTATCGATCCCCTTTTCTCTTCACGTTCTTACATCTCTCGCTTCTCTTTTCAGATCTTTCCCCCCCATCTTCCTCGTCGGATTTGTCCTTTCCCCCTCTGTCTTCCACGATCGGCCCACAGTGTTCTCTTTTTCGTTTGCACTGTGACAGGGAAGCAATTGGAGTGGAAGCGCCTCTCATTTCTGTCACTTTCCATCACTCACCACATTTCCCCCTCTGGAGTGGTCCCCGTCCTCTGTTCTTAACTGTGCCTCTTTATTTCTGCCGGCACCACGGCTACCGTGCTATGTTTGAGAGCCAGTTTGGTGTCGTGGTTGAGTGCGCGGACTCTAATCTGGGAGAACCGGGTTTGATTCCCCCACTCCTTCACTTGTACCTGGCTGGATGACCTTGGGCAAGCCGTAGCTCTGGCACAGCTGTTCTTGAAAAAGAGCAGTTTCTGTCAAGAGCTCTCTCAGCCCCACCTGCCTCACAGGGTGTCTGTTGTGGGGAGGGGAAGGGAAAGGAGTTTGTAAGCCGCTCTGAGACTCCTTCGGGTAGTGAAGGGCGGGGTATAAATCCAATCTCTTCTTCTTCTTCTTTTACCTCACAGGGTGTCTGTTGTGGGGAGGGGAAGGGAAAGGAGTTTGTAAGCTCTGAGACACCTTTGGGTAGTGAAGGGCGGGGTATAAATTCAATCACCTCTTCTTCTTTTACCTCACAGGGTGTCTGTTGTGGGGAGGGGAAGGGAAAGGAGTTTGTAAGCCGCTCTGAGACTCCTTTGGGTAGTGAAGGGCGGGGTATAAATCCAGTCTCTTCTTCTTCTCCTCTTCTTATTACTTTACTAAAGTTGTCTCTCTGCCCGGACTACCTGGCTGGGGGGGGGGGGGGGGGGGGGGCTTGGAAACCTCCACCTGCTCCCATCTTATAAGTTGCTGAGCCCATTATATAGGACCACAGCTTGGCGGCCCTTTACCATTAACCTGATGGAGGTTCCCCAATGCCATCTTTGTGGTACTGGCATGGTCCTCACACTGAGTTCAGGAGATCTTGGGCAGTGGGAGGAGGAGATAGAGGCCAGTCAGCTTCTGAATCCCAGTGCAAGGAGGCAACATCAGGGGAAGGCGTCGGCCTCTGTGCCCTGTTGTTGGCCCTCCTGAGGAAATGGTTGGCCACTGTCTGAGACAGGATGCTGGACTGGATGGGTCACTGGTCTGATCTAGCAGGGCTCTCCTTATGTTCTGATCAGGGAAAGACCTCTCTGCCCTGTTGTTGGAGCTCCAGAGGAACTGGTTGGCCACTGTGTGAGACAGGAAGCTGGACTAGAAGGACCATTGTTCTGATGCAGCAGGGCTCTTCTGATGTTCTTAGGAGGGCCTCGTCCTCTATGCCCCGTTGTTGGACCACCAGATGAACTGATTGGCCACTGTGTGAGATAGGACGCTGGACTAGAGGGACCATTAGTGTCATCCAACCGGCTTTTCTTATGTTCTTATGAAGGCCTCAGCCTCTATGCCCAGAAGACCTGAGTGGCTACTGTGTGAGACAGGAAGCTGGACTAGAGGGACCACTGGTCTGATCCAGCAGGGCTCTTCTTATGTTCTTAGGAAGGCCTCGGCCTCTATGCCCTGTTGTTGGACCTCCAGAGGAACTGGTTGGCCACTGTGTGAGACAGGAAGCTAAACTAGAGTGACCACTGATCTGATCCAGCAAGGCTCTTCTTACATCCTTTTGAGAGTAGGCCTGGTCTGTCAAAATGACTTTCCCTTTCAGGGTTCAAGACGTTCAAGGTACATCTCAGTCACATCCTTGTTCTCCTCTGTGGGAACTTGTTATGAAGGCAGAATGAGATAATGGCCTCTAACTGTCAGCCATTTCCCAGACACCACACTGTTATTAGGCTACATACGGAGCCCTGTTTTTCCCCTTAATAGCTGGTAGTTGAGCGATTTCTTGAGGCCTTGCAAACTAATTGTAGTGTAAAATAGTGTTTTGGTGTGTCTGGCTTTATACCTGAGGGGGAGTGCGTTATAGCAGACGATGGTGTGATAAGTGTAAATTCAGGATCTTTTAGGACAATGGGTGGAATGAATTCTAGCCAGTTTGGTGTCGTGGTTAAGTGCGCGGACTCTAATCTGGGAGAACCGGGTTTGATTCCCCACTCCTCCACTTGCACCTGCTGATGTGATCTTGGGTCAGCCACAAGCTCTGGCACAGCTGTCCTTGAAAAAGAGCCGTTTGTGTCAGAGTTCTCTCAGCCCCACCCACCTCACAGGGTGTCTGTTGTGGGGAGGGGAAGGGAAAGGAGTTTGTCAGCCGCTCTGAGACTCTAAGTGAAGGGCAGGGTATAAATCCAATCTCTTCTCTTCTTCTTCTTCTAGTCAGGTCATGAGCAGCTGTACTGGCTGTTGTGTTGTGTTATAGGACCACTTCAGACTGATGGAGCTGTATGGGCTAAAGGCTAGGGTATTACCAGGACTGTATTACTGTTGGCATTTCCCTTTCTCCGCAGGAAGATCTGTCAACACTGCAAATGCCCCAGGGAGGAGCACGCGGTGCGGATCGTGCCCGTTGACTTGGAAAGGATGATGTGCCGGCTCATCTCTGATTTTCAGCGGCACTCCATCTCGGACGACGACTCCGGCTGCGCCTCGGAGGAGTACGCATGGGTGCCCCCCGGGCTCAAGCCCGAGCAGGTGATGCTAAGCGAATGGGATGGCAGGAATGGTCCGAGGCAGTGACATGGTTCTGCGTTGCCGCGACTGCCCTTCATTGACCGAAACGAAGGGCTGCGTTTTCACACGAGGTGTTAACATTTGCAGAGCTTTCAAAAGCACAGGTTGATGTTCCGGACTAGTTTTCTTCCAGGGCGATAGGAATGTTGGGGGAAAACTGAATAGCAGCTTGTTTTGTTGGTCAAAATTTTACTTTTGCGTTCTGGAAGCGGCCTGGAGCCGTCCCCGCTGGATCGGATAGTGGGATATAAATACTTAGAATGCTTAAATAAAAAATATAAATCAAAATTAACCATGCATTCCAATACCAGTCTGGTATCAGTAGTTAAGTGAGTTACAACAGTTGTTTCAATTTCTCCCAGAATTTCGGTTTTAATTCCCCGAAATCCCTCAGGGGGAAAAATCCAGGTTTTCTACCTGCTTTCAGTATAGCTGGTTATATTACTTGAGTTTAGCAATAATACAGAACTGCCCTGACATTATACAGGGAGGGAAACAAACAACCTTGTTTGTAAAGAAGCAGCTGAGGAAATTGATATGTTCACATGTATTTATGGAATGCTGCGATTCTTGTATTTTCTAACTAGGGGTAAACCCAGAAAGAAACACGTTTACTCTCCATGTTGACTCTCTTAGAGCATGTGGACACTGTAAACATACATCAGTTTTAGAACAGAAACTGTCATGACTTCTTCTGTCTAGGGGAATCATTCCCTGGTGAGGGGGCTGAATGTTGTTTGACATTCCGTGTTTTCCACTGCCGTTCCCAGTGTTCCCTCAGGCCAGGCAAAGACTGTTAAACCAGGTTAAATATGTAGGGTAGTTCTGCTCTCAGATTCTCTCCTGTTGGTAGGTTTCACAGCTGCAGCTTTGCCTTTGGAGTACCTGTGTGAAGATGGGCTCATAGCAGAGCGATGCTTCCCTCTAAGCTCAGAAGTTTTGTGAGCAAAAATTCTGCTTTGTGAGCTACCGGCATTAAAGTTGCGAGCGAGCGATTTGGCTGCTGCATCCATTAGTTTGCTCTGGAGCCATCCTTCCTGAGCGAAGACGAAAGCGTGTGAGCCGGAGGCTAAAAAACTGTGAGCTAGCTCACACTAACTCAGCTTAGAGAGAACACTGTAGCTGATGTGTCGAACTCATTTGTTGCGAGGGCCGGATCTGACATCAATGTCACTTTGTCGGGCCGGGACGTGTGTGCCATAAATCGTAATGCCGGGTACCGGAGATAGGAACTGTATAAAAGACAGCAGCTGGTAAGCTCTGAGTTGGCGTATCCTTACTGCAAGGCCCCATGGGCTGGGAGGGGGGTGCAGAGGAAAACCCACATGGGAGGGCTGGAGAGGCAGTGGTACAGCACTGGGTAGACACTCCCACACTGCTTGACTGCTGCAGACAAGGTTGTTCCGCCATGCTGAAGCCGCAATCGGAGTGACTGCGCCCACTCCCCCCTGGACAGTCTCCTGTTCCCTCCCTTGCACCAGTTGCTCGCAGGCCATATAAGAGCCCTGGGTGGGCCAGTTCTGGCCCCCGGGAGCCCTAGGTGGGCCAGTTCTGGCCCTCGGGCCTTATGTTTGACACTGCTGGCTTATAGCATCTATTTTAGTTGTGTGGGGTGTTTGAGGCTGGAAGCAACGGTTGTTGCCTGCCCCCTTGCTGTTATGACAGTCCCCTTAGTTACTGTTTGAGAAGACGGGAAGGCCCTGGTTTTTATAAGTTCTTCTTATTTAAACATTTATTAGCCAATATGTTGTCGAAGGCTTTCATGGCTGGAGTTCATTAGTTGTTGTAGATTTTCCGGGCTGTATGGCTGTGACGTTTCGCCAGCAGCTGTGACTGGCATCCTCAGAGGTATAACACAGAAAGATGGAGTACTCTCCGTGTCAAAGTGAGAAGAAAAATGGTAGGCAGGTAATTTGTATATACTCAGGAAGGTGGGGTAGGGCTGAGTCATTATCTTGTCAGAGTTCCCCAGGCTGTGACGTGCTAATGGAGGAGCTTTCCTGAGGAGGTACTTTTGCATATGGATGGGCTGTTGGAATTCTAATCTTATCTGTAGTGCTTCTCTTCCTGAAACAGGAAAGAAGAGAGTTTAAAAATAAATAGGGCATGGTTTCCTGTCCCGAAAAACACAAAATGCTCTACATCTTACAACAACACTACAGATAAGATTAGGTCCTACAACGCTAAGACCACGGCCCTGCAGCCCGGAAAATCTACAACAACTAATTTATTAGCCACGTTTCTACCCTATGGGAACTCAAAGCGGCTTACAGTGTAAAAAATAATAAAATACATAAAAAGCCACTAGTTTATCATTTAATTAATTAATCAATCAGTTATTTAATTAATGGCCTGCCTTTCTCCCCAAGGGGGACCCAAAGCAGTTTACGTCATTCTCTTCTCCTTTGTTTTATCCTCACACAACAACCCTGTGAGGCAGGTTAGGCTGAGAGTGTGTGAGTGGCCCAGGGTCACCCATCCAGTTACCATGGCGCAAAGTAGAGGTCCCAACCCGGGTCTTCCGGATTACTAGTCTATAGGTTGCCAACCTCCAGGTGGGGGCTGGAGATCTCCCAGGATTACAGCCGATCTCCAGATGACAGAGATCACTTTCCCTGGTGGAAATGGCTGCCTCGGGAGGCGGATTCTGTGGCATTCTTCCCGAAACCCCGCCCTTCATAGGCTCCGCCTCCAAAATCAAGAACCATAAGGGAAAGAAAGAAGTCAGATAAAGGGCCGACATTAAAAACTAAGTTAAAACTTATAATATACAAAAATACATGTATTTATTAGTTTATTGGTTATCTTATTGTAATATGTATTAAAGTTTTGTGTACCTCAATATTGTTCGGCCTCTAAAGAAGGCCCCAATAGGGCGGAAACGCGTCAGGTCCTGTGTATTGGCTCTTGTGTTTAGGCCACCTTTACTTGTTTACGAGGCTTTCATGGGGCCCTTATATGTTTTTAACTGTCTTTCTAATAAATACATGTACTTTTGCAGGGCTTTTTTTGTAGAAAAAGCCCAGCAGGAACTCATTAGCATAATAGGCCACACCGAACAGCAGACACTCATTAGCACATTAGGCCACACCGTTGACAGCATAGCACATTAGCATATTAGGCCACACCCCCATGTTACCAGAAGTGTGGTCATCCAGCCACACACCCCTTTTGCTTCTTATTCTGTTTACCTTGTTGTCAAAACCCAGAGCTTTTTTTGTAGCAGGAACTCCTTTGCATGTTAGGCCACACACCCCTAATGTAGCCAATCCTAATGAGTTTCTACTGCTGGGTGTGGCCTATTATGCTAATGAGTTCCTGCTGGGCATGGCCAACTTGGGAGCCAGCCGGAACTCTGTTCCTCTGCGTTCCTGCCCAAAAATAGCCCTGTATTTTTGTATATTATAAGTTTTAACTTAGTTTTTCATATTGGCCCTTTATCTGACTTTATTTATCTTATTTATTTATCATTCGATTTATATCCCGCCTTTGTTCACGGCTGTATGTTTTTGTGATTTCCGTGGCCTCCTCGAGGCTGGCAGCCCTTCTCCCAGCTGGAAGGAGGGATTGCGGGACCGAAGCCTGTCATTTGGGGACGCCTTGCTGTTCTCCCTCCTCGTCTCCCTCTTTCCTGCCTTGCTGCTTGTGGCTAGAGCAGCCGCGACATCAAACGGGAGGTATCCGAACCGGAGGACGACTGGATGGCGAAAGGGCCAGGAATCCGGAAGTGCTAATCAGGGGGGGAGGAGAGAGCGAGTAAATGGTGAAACTTCGGTCTTGGCAGGAGGGAGGCGGAAGGGAGAAAAATAAAGAGGCAGAGTGACTTCAGGGCCCTATTAAGTCAAGAGGTGGTAATTCGGCGGAACCCCCTCTGGGCCTTTCTGACCCAGAACCTTTCCTACGCTACGGTCTTAGTCACGCCATGGCAGTTGACGGATGTAATCATAGTATTTCAGCAACCATGCCACAAGCGATTCTCCCTTTGTGTTGGTAGTGCCAGCGACGAAAAGAGGGAGGAAAAGCAAAGATCTTGGTGAGTCAGAGGCAGGCAGGCGGCGGCGGAAATGCCCTCCTTCGGGACTTTGGCTCAGTAGAACCACTTGAAAACACCAGCAAAGAAGAAGAGTTGTTTTTTATACTCCACCCTTCACTACCTGAAGGAGGTCTCAAAGCGGCTTATGATCTCCTTCTCCTCCCCTTCCCGCAGCAGACACCCTGTGAGGTAGGTGGGGCTGAGAGAGCTCTGAGAGAACTGCTCTTGAGAGAACAGCTCTGAGAGCACTTGTGACTGACCTAAGGTCACCCAGCTGGCTGCATGTGGAGGAGTGGGGAATCAAACCCGGTTCTCCCAGATTAGAGTTCGCACACTTAACCACTACAGCACACTGGCTCTCAAGAAGAACAGTAGAGCAGGCCTATAGCACCCTCCAGGACAGACAGTTTTTTCTTGGAGCGTCTAACAGAGGGTTAGGTAAAGGTAAAGGTTTCCCTTGCTCGAAAGCCAGTCGAATCCGACTCTAGGGATGCGGTGCTCATCTCCATTCCCAAACCGAAGAGCCAGCGCTGTCCAAAGACGTTTCCGTCGTCATGTGGCCGACATGACTAGATGCCGAGGCGCACGGAACGCTGTTACCTTTCCACTGAAGCGGTCCCTATTTATCTACTTGCAATTTCTTGCTTTCGAACTGCTAGGTTGGCAGGAGCTGGGGCCAGAGACGGGAGCTCACTCCGTCATGCGGCACGCGTCTCGAACTGCTGAACTACTGACCTTCCACAGCCTGCAGTTCAGCGTCTTAACCACTTGAGCCACCACAGAGTGTTAGGAACTGGTTAAAGATCTGTCAGTTAGAACGATTGGGGAGGAGAGTTGACGGTCCTTTCCCCATCGCAGTGGAGCCTCGTGGTTAGAGTGTTAGATTTGGACTGGGGAGACGGGGATCGAAATCTCTGCTCGGGCCGTG